AGCCCGTGGGCTCTGACTGCTATCCTGACCTGGCGCAGGGTTTGAGGTTAGGACGTGGCCTCTGGCCCTGACCTGGGGTCTGGCAGCTCTCCTGTGACATGGTTCCAGCTGGCCCTAGCCTTGACGTGGCCCCATGGCTCTGGCTGCTATCCTGACCTGGCGGAGGGTTTGGGGTGCGGCCAGTCCTAACGTCACTTTCGGAACCAATAAAAAACTTTCAATCAAGACAGCAGCTGCCAGGGCTAGGGCGCTGCCCCTAGCTCCGGGGTGCTATCCTGACATGGCTCTTGCTGCTAGCCCGTGGGCTCTGGCTGCTATCCTGACCTGGCGCAGGGTTTGAGGTTGGGACGTGGCCTCTGGCCCTGACCTGGGGTCTGGCAGCTCTCCTGTGACATGGTTCCAGCTGGCCCTAGCCTTGACGTGGCCCCTGTGGCTGTGACGTGAAAGCAGCTGCCATGGCTCTGGCTGCTATCCTGACCTGGCGGAGGGTTTGGGGTGCGGCCAGTCCTAACGTCACTTTCGGAACCAATAAATAAATAAAAAACTTTCAATCAAGACAGCAGCTGCCAGGAATTGGGCGCTGCCCCTAGCTGCGGGGTGCTATCCTGACCCTAACTCCGGGGTGCTATCCTGACACGGCTCGTGCTACTCGCCCGTGGGCTCTGACTGCTATCCTGACCTGGCGCAGGACGTGGCCTCTGGCCCTGACCTGGGGTCTGGCAGCTCTCCTATGACATGGTTCCAGCTGGCCCTAGCCTTGACGTGGCCCCTGTGGCCGTGACGTGAAAGCAGCTGCCATGGCTCTGGCTGCTATCCTGACCTGGCGGAGGGTTTGGGGTGAGGCCAGTCCATAACGTCACTTTCGGAACCAATAAAAAACTTTCAAGCAAGACAGCAGCTGCCAGGGCTAGGGCGCTGCCCCTAGCTCCGGGGTGCTATCCAGACATGGCTCTTGCTGCTAGCCCGTGGGCTCTGACTGCTGTCCTGACCTGGCGCACGGTTTGAGGTTGGGACGTGGCCTCTGGCCCTGACCTGCCAGGGGTCTGATCTCTTGTGACATGGTTCCAGCTGGCCCTAGCCTTGACGTGGCCCCATGGCTCTGGCTGCTATCCTGACCTGGCGGAGGGTTTGGGGTGCGGCCAGTCCTAACGTCACTTTCGGAACAAATAAATAAATAAAAAACTTTCAATCAAGACAGCAGCTGCCAGGAATTGGGCGCTGCCCCTAGCTCCGGGGTGCTATCCTGACGCGCCTCCGTGCTCGGCTCTCTATCCTCGAAAGCCTCGACGCGCGTGTCGCCCAACCCCTCACAGCGCCAGTGCCATGTCTGGCGCACGACACAGCAGCTTCGACAACGCAACAGCAGGGCACACAGCCGTTGCGCATGCCTAGCCAGGTCCACCGACGCACCGCACCGACAGGACGTCGCGCAACAGGCATCTCCCCGCGAATGTCGCGCAAACGCGCGCGAGAAGAGGCGCCGTCCACTACAGACGCAGCGCGACGTCCCAACGGACGCGCAAGGTCGACTCCAAAGCAAGCCTACCACTACGTTTGCCCCCGCTGCAACACGCATGTCCGCAGCACGGTACGCACCGGCAGGGTGGATCACCGCGGCACCTGTGGGAAACGCTTCCATGTCCATGACGGTCAAGTGGCAATGAAAAAACATAGATATTGTTGTCCATGGTGCAAAGCCCATGTGTCTAGTGCAATCCACACTGGGCGCGTGGACCATCGAACGGTGTGTGGCAATCAGTTTCATGTCCAAGAAGGGGTGGTCGCCGCAGCGACACGACGTTACGCACACCGTTGCCCAGTCTGCCGCACCGTTGTGTGGTCCGGCCTCGCGTTTGGCCGACTGCGCATTGCGCACGCATCGCCTTCCGGGAAACCGTGCCCCAACCAAGCGTGGAATGTCCCAAACAAAAAAACTAACCACAAAAAAAGAACCGGAGGAAAGTGAGGACTTTGAGAAGTGAATGTGCGCGGTCTTGCGACAGCGCAACACACACAGCACTGCGAGAAGCCAGTCAGCGTTGCCAGAAGCTCGATGCCTGACCCTGGTTGGTGCCCTTGGCCCCTGACGCTGGCTGCTGTGGCGCGCGTGCCCATGGCCAGTCCTACCGCTGCTTTCGGACGTGGTCCCTGGCCCTGACCTGGGCTCTGGCAGCTGCCAGGGCCAGTCCTAACGTCACTTTCGGAGCCAATAAAAAACTTTCAATCAAGACAGCAGCTGCCAGGGCTTGGGCGCTGCCCCTAGCTCCGGGGTGCTATCCTGACATGGCTCTTGCTATCCCTCAAGCACGAACACTCTCTTGGCTGGCGTGTAGTGCAAGCCCTCATGGCTTGTGGCATCATCTTTACTCGCCTCTTCTTCTCCTCGATCTTTGCGCCTTGGTCTATTTTCCAATCTCCATTGTTCACAATCATGCCTCTGTTTCACTTCATCTGCATCATCTTCTTTGCTGATTGAGACCATTTCAAGTCTGGCCTTCGTGTGAATGCTGTGATTCTCGAGGTGCAAAGGGATCATCGTCCCTCGTTGTCTGATGAGGGACAGCGGCCTGTTCTTCATCTACGAAAACAGTATGCTGTAGAACTTGATGCTCAATGCTTTTGTGTCATCGTCCATTGTGTCCATATCATATGCATTGTTTGGTTTCTTGCTGATCGTTTCCAGCAACTCAGCTGTCTTTGGATCTACACTCTTCATGAACTGCATGAGTGAGTTTCTCATCTCGCGAATTGGGCTTGAAGATCTCGGGCGTCTTGAAGTGTTTGCTCCACTGCTGATTCTGCTGAACCTGAACCAGCTGCTGCAAGGACCTTTGTAGTCCAACTAGGGCTTCTGTCGACATCTCGAAAGTCACGAAAGTGATTGTCTTGGACTTTTCCTTCCAAAAGACTTCCACTCCCTTCTTCAAACAAATACTTGTCTCCCCCAACTCTCAACACTCGAAACTTTCGCTTCGATTCCTCTTCGAAGGTTGTGGGCCGGTACCGTTCGATTGGCAACTCCCTCCATTTACGGGGGACCTGGACTTCTATACCTCGTAGGACTCTTCTCTGAAACAGAATTCTGGGTTGCTGCTTTTGTCTTTCTGCCTCACGAACCCGTGGGCTCTGGCTGTTATCCTGACCTGGCGCAGGCTTTGGGACGTGGCCTCTGGCCCTGACTGGGGTCTGGCAGCTCTCCTGTGACATGGTTCCAGCTGGCCCTAGCCCTGACGTGGCCCCAGCAGCTGCCATGGCTTTGGCTGCTAGCCTGACCTGGCGGAGGGTTTGAGGTGCGGCCAGTCCTAACGTCACTTTCGGAACCAATAAAAAACTTTCAATCAAGACAGCAGCTGCCAGGAATTGGGCGCTGCCCCTAGCTCCGGGGTGCTATCCTGAC